CCCCCCCCCCCCCCCCCCAACAAATCTACTAGTATATATACATTATTTTCCTGATTAGGATTTCAGTTTTGCTCCCAAATTTCCTGTCGCCGGCATCTTTTCCCTTGCTAGGGTAATATTCGAGAACAGGTGGTGCTCTGACTGTATCATAATCCACAATGGCGATTATCTCAATGACTCCTCCTCCCATCTTACTTGCTCGTTGCTCCTCCCGTCTATCGTCCCACCATACCGAAAATCTCCTTCCTACATCCTATTGAGCCCGCTCTTCGTGCTTGTCATTGCTATGCCATTCCTTCCAGCCGGCCCGTGAATGTCGTGACCCTCTTCTAACTTATGTATTTGTTGTCGCAACCCTCTCCTCCCTTCTACTGCTGGTTGTTGCTACACCACGCTGTCTACCTGCTTCCTACCGCCCCTCCAAATCATCCCATACTTGTTCAGTCGCAGCCCATCATTTCGTCGTCGCCCTAGGGTGTCTGTGTGGGTTGCTTGTCAACAAAAATATTTTCTTTCCATTTGTGAATTGGGGTTAACTCTAGTACTATCCCCATAAAGGTCAACTGGTCCTAGCAACACTTAGTTGAATTAGTTTTGTGCTTCTCTAGTCGATTATGCCCTCCCCAAGGAGCCACGCATCAGTTTCTGTTGATGACCTAATTGTCAATGCACATCCTCCACGATCCGTCTTGCTTAGGTACCATCAGGCTGGGGACAGCACACAGACTGAGAGGTTTAGCAACATTCTCCCCTCACAGAGCCTTTGAAAGATGATGAGTTATAGTGAGCCGATACAGCTCAGGCCACCTTCAATACACTAAAGGAGAAGGTGACTCGAGCACAAATTTTGGCATTACAAGACTTCAATCAGCTATATAAGGTGGAGTGTGATGCATCCAACGTCGGAGTAGAAGCAATACTAAGCAGAGAAGCCACCCCATAACATTCTTCAGTGAGAAGTTGAATGATTTCGAGAGAAAATGTTAGACGTACGATAAAGAGTTCTATGCGATCGTGAGAGTCATTGATCACTGGAGTCACTAACTACTAATGAGTGAGTTCGCCTTATTCATGGATCACGAGGCTTTAAAATACTTGAATAGCCAGAACATACTGAAGAACCGACAAGTGTCTAGGGTGTTCTTAGCGTCATTCCATTTAATGCTTAAGCACAAGGCGGGGAACCAAAACAAAGTAGCAAATGCACTAAGTCGCCAACACTTGCTGATTACTTCGCTGCAAACTCGGATCGCAGGCTTCGAGGTAGTGAAAGAGTTATATAAGATAGATGAAGATTTCAAAAGGATCAGAGCAATGTAAGAAAAGCCTACTGAGCAGTTCCATAGAGTTGATGGATACCTATTCCACTAGAATAAGTTGTGCATTCCAAGATGTTTGCTAAGGGAGTTTATTATTCAGGAAAGCCACGATGGAGGACTTGCAGAACATTTTTGGTAGGGATAAAACTCTTGCACTCGTGAGAGAACACTTTTATTGGCCTCAATAGACGACAGATGTGGAGTGGCACGTCAGGCAATACCAGATTTATCATATGGCCAACACCAGGGGGACACAAAGCAGGGCTATACACTCCATTACCAGTGATGGAGGCCCCGTGGGTGCATGTCAGCTTGAAGTTTGTGGTGAATCTCTCAAAGACGCAGTAGAACAAAGATTCTATAATGGTTGTGGTGATTGATTCTCAAAGATGGCACATATCGTACACTGTCATTGAACGTTGCACGCATCGCATGTCGCTGATTTGTACTTCAAGGTGGTTGTAAGACAATACGGGATAAACAAGACCATCATTTCCGACAAGGATTTTTAGTATATGGAGGACCCTATGGGTGAAGTTGGGCACCAATCTTCAATTCATTTCAGCAGTAGCCGAATGATCAAACAGAGGTAATGAATAGGAGTCTAGCGGTCTTCTAAGGTGCTTTGTGGAAAATAATATTAAGTGGGATTTGACTCTAGCCCAAGCCGAGTTTGCTTACAACAGATCCGTGAGTCAAACCACAAGACGCACACCATTTAAAAGTGTGTGTGGGCACAACCCAGTCATGCTACTTGACTTGATACCTCTCCTGCTGACATAAGAGATTAGTGAGGATGTTGAAGAACGAGTACAAGAGATTCAGAAGCTCCACAAGGAGGTTGGGAAGGAAATCACTAAGCAGAACCGCAAGTACCAAGCACAGGCAAATAAAACTAGAAAAAAATGATTTTTCAAAAAGGGGACAGTGTGGATCCGATTGAAGAATGAAAAATTTCATTGGGAGCATTCGAGAAGCTCAAGCCCAGAACAAATGGACTTTTCTGAATCATTAGGAAGTTCAACGATAACGTCTATAAGATCGACATACCCAAAGACCGCAATGTCTCTGCTACTTTCAATATGGCAGACTTGACTCCATGCTACGAAGAACCAGAAGCCCAGAAGCTTTGACGTTGACGAATGAAGTCGAAGCTCCCCCAACCCCAAGAGACTGACGTCGGGCTCCTTGGAGAGGGTTGAACTTGTTGGAGAAGCACAGAACCGGTTTAGCCAAGAGTTTCTTGGACCGGTTTGCCGATGTGGGGCTAGGTTTGTCGCACAGCGGGAGGGACCCCCATCATAAATATCTACTATATATATATATATATATATGTTATTTTATTGGTTAAGGTTTAAGTTTTTACATCTAAATTTCTTGTCGTCGGTGTCTTTTCCCAAGCTATAAATGTATCTGAGGATAGACAATGCTTTGGTTGTATCATGCTCCACAATGGTGTAATCTCCGCAATTCCTCCTCCTGTCCATTCTTACCTGCTCGCTACTATTCCCTCCCGTCGTCCCGTTGTGCCACAAATCTCCTTCCTACACCCTTTTGCACTTGTTTTTCCTGATTTTTATTGCTACGCCCCTCCCTTTTCTAGTCAGTCAGTGACTGTCATAACCCTCCAACAACAATCCTCTCCTCCCTTCCACTTTTGGTTGTCGCTCCACCAACCTGTCTACCTGCTTCTTGCCGCACCTCCAAATCATCCCATACTTGTTGTCCAACCGCAGCCCACCATTTTGTCCTCGCCTTATGTTACTTTGTTCCTGTTTACGAGTCCTTGTTGTAGCACTTCCGATTATCAGCAATAATATCTCCTTTCCATTTGCAATTTGGAGTTAACTCTAGGATCCTTTTATCATCATTTCATTTAAGATTTCTTAATTCAACATCATATCAAGGCTACAAAAATGAAGATGAATTCAACAACGTGTCTAACACCAACTTCGACAATCACATGTAAGATATTTTTTAATGTTTAAATGTGGTGTCATATGAGCATAGCAATTGTGTAATGATTCATACGCTTTATTTTAGATTGAGGTCATTTAATGGAGACTTGAATCAAGGATCAAAGAGAGATTTGAACAAGGTTCGATCAATTCACAAAACTTAATCAAATATGGCATGAACCTAGTTGTAAATTTGTCCAAACCTTGTTCGAATATTATCCAAACATGGTTCGAACTTTCTTCAAACCTTGTAAGGTTCAAACATATGTAAACAAGGTTCAAACCATATTCAAACATGGTTCAGACAAACTCCATATATGTTTTTAACTATAGATCCAGCCTTGTTCAAAAAATTTAGTGACTTGTATTTATATTCTTAGCAGTATTTTCTAAAAGTGAATCAAATACCAAGATCCTTGTGTTGTGTAATGAAGAATGAAAAGACGACATACAAATCAGTCAGACAACTATTAAGAAACAGAGCAAAGTATTGATGGTTCGAAGTAAATATTTTTCTCAAATAATTTATCGATTTTATATATGTAATTATAAAAAGTGATAAAAACCAATTAAATTTGAAGCTAAACATGAAGCATCACTTTGGTGGAGCACAATAAAAGATATCAATTACTCCAATAGAGACAGCGATAAAATAAGATCTTGACTAAAATGTTCATATCTATTTAACTTTGATTTTCCACTTGTGTGTCTACTGCTCCAAGAAATATTTCAACTACAAATTATCAACTACAAATTATGATACAAATAAAGATGATGCAAGATAAGTCAGTCCATTATTTTCCATTGATTTAAGAAATTATAAAATTAATGACATGGACATAAAAGATGCACAGAAAAATAATGCTATAGACATGGTAGCTTTATAGATGTTTTACCAAAATGTCCATTTAGAGACTACAGCACAACTTTGATATTACCCTAGAATTAGTAAGAATGAGCTCTAATTTTTCATGTGCCTTAAAACTGAAAGCATCAATTCGTGACAAGGAGAATGCATAAAAAACTCCTATCCTATACGGGTTAGTGTTCGAAAGTATTTTTAATTCAATATCTAATGATATAATGACCTCATACTCAAATTTTTCCTCAATTTATTTAACAGTTA